TGGAGTGTGAGTGTCCACAAGTTAACTATAATAACAGTAATGTAATAATGTTTTTTTTAATATTAAACAAATTAATTATTAATTATGAAAACTATTACACATCCATTTCACGAAAAATTTCTGATTATAATGAACGGTTCCATTTGGATCATGCTAAATTTTTTTATAAACTTGTCTCTATTAACCTACATAAATTGCGTTTTTTAAGAATTGAAACTCAAACATCCTGATATAAAACACATGAATCTTTAGACAACCACTAGACTAAAGAGTTTCCACAGGTAATCTAATAATGTATATGATTTTTTTTTTATGGAATTAAATATCAAACCTCACTGCCCATTTTTTTCTCTAATTGGCTAAGATTTTCAATTTGATACACTATTTCAATGCGTTTATGTTTTAAAATTAGTATATCAAATTTTAAATTTTAAAGAGCTAAAACATCTAACTTTCTAATACAAAAATCTATGAAATAAAAAGATGGAAATAAATAAACTATCTCTGTGTATATAATTTTAAAATATTTGGATTTTGGAACGTTTGAGTTTTGTGTTAAAGACGGTGTATTGTGATTAGCCTACAGTCAATGTTTGAATAAAAATGACGCTTAATGTTTCTCTTTTTAAAGGGAATAATAACTTTATCATATGAAGTTAACAAGTGTATTTATGAGAATTTATGTACACTAGTAACGTGAATAATAACTTTTGCCATGCTGTCAAGATCTTTAACGGCTTGTTGAAAATGGGACTTATGTCGTAAATGCTGTGATTCATATAGCTGAACGCGTCAAGTGAGTGAGTGAATCACACGTATATCCATTCCACACGTTTGGTGTGGTCAGTTTTAACAGTGTAATGCACGCGCGCGCAGGACGTGTGATTGGTGATTTAAACAATTGTTTTGACTTTGACCTAGTTGTGTTAAATCCTCTAAGGCTAAGATATTGATACGTGGGTGTATATAATGTGATAGAATAATGATCATGAGGCGACGTTGGTAAAGTGTGTAAGACGACGTGTTCCATGACCATCCACTTAAATCAGAATAAATAGAATCTAAGATATCTGCAAAAGGAGAAAGTTTTCTTTCATGAAAGTTTCAATTTAGATTATATACCAAACTTAACAATAATCCAGCTCTCTTTGTCTAAGACATGTTAGAGTGCGCATTAAATTTACATTAATTACAATTAATTACTTGGGTTATCAATTTATGATCCAATCGATTGTGATTACATAATACACGCAGTGTTGTTTATGACTGAAGAGGAAAGCATGGAGTCGCTCAAGAGCTTCAGGTTTTGATGACGTTGGGAAATGGGAATTCATGGAAGATTATTCAAAACTGTCATCCTTCACACTCCACTATAATCTTTTGTTTATTAAATTTGTATTTGAGTTTCATCTAGTTAATTACTTGGGAGGTTACATGATTTGTTTGTTATATTGTTGAGTCTTAGTTTTATCTCTGAATTTTAATGTTCATGTACACTTTATATATATATATATATATATAGAAACTATGATCCTAAAAACAAAGAGCTCCACATAGTTCTTAGAGATGGTGAATATTAATATACGACATTACCTAAATTGCCTAAATCGAAGTTTGTAAATTACCTTTGCAACAGCCGAATTACCATAGTGCCACTGCGCATCTCTAGAAGTGTTAAATTAGAGATGTCAAACGGGTCAGCCCGCGTTCAAATAGCCCAACCCGATGTGGTTTTATTTTTTTGTTGGGTCTTGCGGGCTGGTCCATCGCGGATTGCGGTCCCAAAATCTATTGTCCAAGTCCAACCCGCCTATAATCTACGGGTTAACGGACTGATCCACGGATTCTATGTATTTTTTCTTTATAATGCTCATTTTTGTAATTTACGTTAGACTATCGATATTAAACAACAAAAGCAACATCAAGTCTATTCTCTATACTTTCATCTTAACGAGATTTTGGTAAGTGAATGGATTTGAAGTTCATCAAAAGCCTTTCAAAAGGATATAGTCCAATTACAAAAATCTTAATCAAAGAAGGATATAGTTTAGTTGCTCGTGTCTATGTTGTATGAAGCAATGATTTTGAATTAAAACAACAAGCATCGATCAACTTAAAAGAAATATTTTGAAACTATCACCAACAATCCAATAAAAAAATTTCAAGAATCAGAGAAGCAAAAAAAGAATAAAATCTAAGAAAGTATCAAAGTAACATAGGCTAAAACCAGAGAAAGCAAGAAAATCAAAAATCCTAGAAGAAATGAAGTTTAACCTAAAACTTTTAACTTAATTCTCAAATTCAAGAAGCAAACCAAAGTTGATAATTCTTCAATTTTCATCTTCATCATCAGCTTCATCTTCGTCCTCATCTTCATCATTGAGAATGGATTGGAAAGATGGTAGTGTCTTATCTTCACTATCAGATTCTTCTTCCTCCTCTGCATATATGATTAGATTAAGTTACTGAACCAAATAATTTATGATTAAATAAGTGTAAAAATTTTGACAAAAATTTGTTTACCATTTTCATATGCTTCAAATCCCTTTAACCAATTGCGACTGCATATCAAAGCTTGCACGTTTTTGGGAAGAAGCCGGCTTCTGTATTTGTTCAAAACACGAGCTCCAATGCTAAAAGAGGATTCTGAAGCTACTGTCGTGATGGCCATCCAACTTACCGGTGACAAATCAACACTCCTTAGAGTTATAAGTCCCAAATACTTCTCAGCCAATTCATTTACCTAAAACAAACCAATGCATTAGAGAAATTTTCTAAGTTAGTCAGGTTCTTAAGGAAAGATAAAGAAATTAGGATCACTAGAAATGAAATGAATGAAAACCTTGGCGGTAAGAGGTGCCCTTAAGTGCGGTTTAACTGACTCAAAGTACTGAAACCCAATGTAACCGAGCTTATCTCGCATCAACGAATCATCAGAAACAGAATTCCATATTTTGCAAGAACCACTGCTTATTGACATTGACAACTTCTCAATCTCACTATCATCACTCCAACATTCATTCTCACAATCAACCACCTCACTCTGGTTCCTGCAACAACCATAAATTCACTCCTCAATTTCCTTACAACCATAAATTGATTTTTGTTCCAAGTCCATACGCACTTAACTCATCAAAAGAGTCCCAAAGATCACTAAAACTGAAATACTCAATCTTATCTATGCTCTGGTGTATCCAAAAACTATTCAAATTATTCTCGCAGCTCTGCAAATTAACAACAAAAGATCAAACTTTTAAACGCTTGAACCCTGTTTTACTGATTACGCTAAATATTACACCCACTAAAAAGCATTATTGTAATGCAGCACAAATATTAAATACTACGACATGCTATTAAACATGCATATGATTTCAATAATTTCTGAAAGAGACAGTCATCAAATGATAAAAAGATGAAGAAGACACGTTCATCTTTATGCTTTTCGAAGGTGAATATTCCACCATTGCAGCTTTCAAAGCCCAGAAATGCCAAAACGGACACCAAAAACAGAGTCAATTTGAAGAAATTTGCTTACCAGTTTGAACATTTTCTCTCGACAGATCACAGATCCGATGACCGCCAATGAGAAAAGCAATTTTG